AGGGAGTTGGCGGCGATGGCCGAGGCAGCGAACATCAAATACGTGTCAATGATGTAGTTGAAGCACTGCAAGAAGATGCAAAGGATACCGAAGCCAGTCACCACGCCCGAAGCAGTCGGCGCGAGCCAATGGATCGATTTGTTCCAGCCCGTCCAGCCGAGCCAGAAAAGCCCAATGGAGAAGGCGATGGCGCCGACAATGACGGGTGGGAGTCGCCATTCCGGGATCTGGACGCCGTGGTTGCGAATGAGCTTCTTCTTGTATGCCACCTGATCAATCATGATGTAGATGCCACCACAGAACTGGCCGATGATCAGGCCAATGAATGGTAAGCCACCCACACCCTCGTTCATGCCGTGGACGCCTTGGAAAATGATCGGGTAGGCGCCCAAGAACAGGTAGATAAGGCCGTAGATGAAGGACATGTACAGGGTGATCAGGAAAATGATGGGTTCAGTGAACAGCATCCGGATTGGTCGCATGAAATTCTCGTCGACGAGCTCCAGAAAGTCCACCTCGACCTCCTCTTGCTTCGCGTGAATGACAAAGTTCTTTGTCTCACGTCGAATTCGGCCGGCCTTAGCAACGAGGACCGCGGGTGCGTATGTCTCTTTGGTGAAGAGGGTGAGGAAAGTGGAAAGGAAGCCCATGATGGAGGCGATATACATGGTCCAGCGCCAGCGCAGGTGGCTATCGGCAATAAAGCCACCGACAAAGGGTGAGGCGAAGGGGCCACAGAAAACGGCCATGGCAAACGCGGTAATTGCAATTCCACGCTGGCTGTCGTCGTACATATCGGCGAAGCAGGCGGGGACAATCGCCAGGGGACAAGCGGCGAAGAAGCCACTGAAGAAACGTGCGAGCATCAGTGTCTGATAGTCTTTAGCGGTGGCGGCTGCAACGGCAAAGACGCCGAATCCGAACATCGCGACGACTAGGGGAAGCTTGCGGCCCAGCAGCTCGGAACCAGGGCCCCAGAGGATGGGCCCGAAAGCAAAGCCCAACACATAAAGCGTGATACCCAGGACGCCGACTTCGGTAGAGACGTGGAACTCGTGAGACACTTGCTGGATGGCGGAGGAGAAGATTGCGCTCGAGAAGGAGGCCACGAAGGTGATGAAGGAAAAGATGATGGATGTTCTGACTCTGTAGGAGCATGTCAGGGATGACGAGGACGGCACAACAGGAGCAGACGTACTTGTACCAAAACGGCCAATTCTGTGGGTGTTCGGGGTCGTCGACGCCCTCAAACTCGACCACGTACCCTTCGGTGTTGTCTTTGGGTGGTAAAGGCTTGCCGGCACCTAACGTCTGCACGGTAGCTGTCGATCGTCGTCGTGCGCCGGTTGATGGTCGGCTGCCCACGGTGAGCTGATGCTGTGTCCGCGACCTTGCTATCCGCTCCAGCTCGACGGGGTGGAGCGTGTGTTGCGTGGCATTCTGCTCATGCTGTTAGCCACTAGGATAACTGTAGAAACTCCTTCCATTCATACCGTATAAGTATGGGTGACATTCCGGGAAACGGGTAAGGACCCATCAGATTCAGACCACTCTCTCTCAATATCTGGCCCATGAGTGGCGATGTAGGATAAAGTGTCGTGTCGATCGTTGTTTGCGTCGACCTCGGCGCGAATGATGTCTCTGCTCAAAGGGTCCATAGTAGATCAAGTCTTCTGTCGTTTTGAGGTTGCTTGTGCTGGTATCCGAATTGACCTTGGTCTTTCTTCCATCGCCTTGATATACCTCCTCTCTCCATATACTTCTGCCCTCCGGATACTCGGCCAGATATTGACTTCATCTCTGCGGTCCTTTGAGCCCCGTCCGCTCAAGATGCACCTATCACCGTGTTGAGGCTTGATGAGTAACAAGGAAACGTGCCAGGGGCATTGCAGCCGCTCGCATTTTCCGTGTCGAGTGCGAACGGCGGAATCAACGAGGACTGCAGAATTTCAACGAGAGATGCATTGTCAAAATCGCACTTTGCCAGAACAAGCCAAGCACAAGGGGCTTTAGTGGTACCTTCAGGCCTGGAAGATGCTGTTGCTCGGTAGCGTGCAACGTCATCGGCGTGGAGGGCGGAATTGGTGGATGAACATTTCGGCAACATGATCCTGTCGGCGCGCGAGCCCGTGTCAGAAGGACCGTATCATGGATTGATTGGTCGTCGACACTTGAAGCACAGACTTCGGGACGGAATCTTCGTAGTCATCCACCGAGTTGCTATGTCATTGTCGAGATGGCGCTCATTGAAGCTGTGTGGCTCAAGCCTCAGCCCTGAAAGTGGGTCACGTGGCACGAATCTCAACCTTCTGGCTCTCGTATCTCCCACCGCAGCTGCGATACATCTTGATTAGTATGTACTTGACCAGGCACTCCATCGATCGAACAATGTGAACACGAGGGCAACCCTCCCCTCGCACCGGCATATGTTTCTGCCCAAAGAGGTGCGAGCACCATCCAATCAACACCATGTCGATCAAGGCCATCTTCTACAGCAAGTTTGATCCTCATGAAGGCGCGCCGCTCCGTCTCTCCTTAAACCACAGGTGACACCCAGTTTTGACACGGGTACAGGTCCCAAGATCGTGCATCAAGTGCCTGAGGACTCGGTCTTGACCACGAGCGACCCCTCTGCATCGTCCTCCAATGGGCCGGCCACCAGTACTCCATCAACCGCACCACTGTTATCCTTCTCAACCATCTCGCGCTTTGTGATCCCTCGTCAATCGCTCTGCGGGAATCTGATCTCCCTCTCCCCTCCGCCGCTCACCTCGAACACGCCTCCCACGCTCGTCCTGTCGTATCCTATATGTCTGACATCCCCGCGATACCCGCGTAATGAGTTTATCTTCAATTTCGCCTTGGTCCTTGGGGACCCCGCAACGATCGACGTGCCCTCGTATAAGTCGGTGGTGAAGAAATTGGCGCACTTGATGCGCAGCCTGGAGGAGCAGTCGCGCTTCTTGAGTGACGACTCTGCAGCCCCAAACTCGGGCAAGATATACAGCCTGTGTGAGATGCTGATGGAAGATCTGAACAACTACTCTGAATGCATGATTCCGATCGACGAGTTAAACACATTGAACATCAAGCTGTTCCCCACACTGCCGAACCCCGCGAGCGTCAAGCCCTGGCATGTACCACTGTTCACCGTTAGAATCGAGACCATGGTGGACGAGAATTGGGACTTGACCATGCTGCGGCTCATTCCCTTCATTAACGGCGTGAATAGTGTAAAACGGATCGCGGTGCTCGCCGACGCCGACCTCAAGCTCACGAAGAAGTGCATCAAACACCTGCTCTACTACGGATGTATCTTATTGCTCGACATCTTCAGCTTCAGCGCCATCTATGCCCCGACCGCCGAATTTGCCAACATGATCGCCAAGGACACCGACATGCAGAAGGAATGCGCTCGGTACGTCAACATGGCATTCGGCCCAGGCGGACAAGAGGAAGCTGTTATTGACGGCGCTACGGAACGACGGACAAGTGGCTTGACGAATGCGACCCTCCCAGATGAAGAGATATGGCCCTCGACCGGGAAAGGCGACCCCATCGACGGCGTCACGATCGTCCAGCTTTTCGCGAACCTGCGACAAGGTCTCACTGTGCGAGAATGGTATGCCCAGAATGCAAACTTGCTTGCGAACATCGACATGCGGCGGTTCGTTACGTTTGGCGTCATCAAGGGATTCCTCTATCGGGTTCACCGATACGCCATCCGCACACAGAAAGGGGCATTCTCCCACGGGCCGCCCGGCGGAAGCATGACCCAGTACGCTGATCTGACGCGGAGCATGTCCAGCGAACGCCACTTCACCGAAGAGACATCACCGCGGACCAGACATAAACAGCACAAGCAGTCCAGGAGTGTGGAGAAATCCGTGGTAGAGAACCAGACTCTGAATGCCAGAATAGCGGAGTTTCTCGACGGTACACACTGTTTCGACGAGATATGCACGGAGCTGGGGATCAGTGAGAAGGATCTCACCGAGAGGTTGAAGAGTCGCGAAATGGGCGATGTCACTATCATCTGCAGGTGAAGTCCCGTCGTACCTTGTGCTTTGCGAGCTGTCCTTATGTGGCGACTACGAGTACGAGGTTACCCTTGCCTTTGACCTGCGTGACCGTGCGGTCTAGAGGCTCCAACATTGGCCCCTCAGAAGCTCTTTGCGCTCATCCCACGGAGTATCGGCGGTTTCTGGATTTGCCCTCAAACAGCCAGCCTGTGGATCGTTGTTCGATCTCACTCCACCCTCGGTCTGAACAAGCTTTTTATGGTTGGGACGAGTCTGCAACTAATCCGAAGGATGACCGCCGCTCCCTCATAAGCATCCTATTCTCAGGCCCCTCTGATCGACATGTTCCAGGATTTATATTCTGCTAGCACCACTTGGTAGTGCTTACGCAGGTCCACCAGTTGACGTGCGCCCCCGGTGCGCCCCATATAGATGACAAGGGAGACGAGGCGCGGTTCGGGAGGCACATGTCCGGTTTGACCACTCTCAGTCACCCCGGACTTTGCTCATTGTGTGATTACAACAGCGTTTGCTGGGAATCCACGAAGATCGACAGCACCAGCTTGCACGGGCTGGACCACTTAGAGGAGACTCTGGATCCATTCTGAAGTGACCGAATGAGCCGATCATGTTGCTGCTGTGCCTCGACATATACGAGAACTCGTCGTTGTCGTTGTATCGGCTGTCACTTACAAAGAAGCTGTTGAGAATCTGAAGTTGAGCCACTGTTATGCGAGGCGAACGTCACATCCAAGCATATATAGATATATATATGCGCGGACACGGCAGGGCAGGTCGATAGTCTGTTGTGTGATTCAGGTCTACCTTTACACCTAAGCAGTAGACTTACACCACCCTACCGCCCACAGTACTCGTACTCGACGCTGTCTATCCCTCTCCATCTCCTTTCCCTTCTCCTCCCCCCGTGTCGATCTCCTCCTCGATCTCTTCTCCTATGCGCCCCTTGTCTAAGAAATCCTAAGAAGCGCCCGCCCCCGCCTTCTCCCGATCGGCGCCCACCAATTTCCAGTAGCGAGCCGCGCTGGCGACGCGGAACCCCTTGCCCCAGACGATCATGGCGAAGAAGACGCTCGACGCGGCCATGCCGATGAAGGCGGCCGAGATGAAGCAGTTTTGGTAGCCCAGGTTGGTGAGCCAGGGAGTTATCCTACGACTTTTGTCAATGACGACGGATCGAGAGGGAGGGAAGTGGAACGAGGGGGAATAAGGCAGAAGAAGAGGGAGACGGCTCCTGTGAGGGCTAGCTTACCCGTAGCTAATCGCAAACGACATGGTGTTGCGCACCAGAATCACCGTCACAATCGCGTCGCCGCTGATGCCGTGGTAACTGTCGATCATGTACTGCATTTTATCCCCAAAAACGAGGGCATGTCAGCTTTCAACTTCTACCATATTATCATGTTTTTCCCCACCCCTCCCAGACTGTGTGCACATCTGGGATAACCCCCGGGTAAAAAAAAAAAAAACTCACATTGACACTCAACGTGACGCCAAAAGTGGTCACAAAGGCCAGCGAACCCATGGCGCAGATCAGGCCGAACCAGTGCACGCCGTGGGCGGCGCCGACGCCCCACAGGATCAGCGAGCCCGGGACGAGCAGCACGCACAGGGCAAAGGGCCACAGGCGCTGCTCGGCCTCCATGATGCCGCTGTTGCGCCGGGCCAGCTTGATGGTCAGCCAGTCGCTGAAGCGGCCGGAGATCAAACACCCGAGGATGACGCCGATGGTGCACGACAGGTACGACAGGCCGACCATCGAGGGGGCGAAATTGTAGGGAGGCCCGCCCAGGATGATGGACGCCGTCGCGTTCAGCACGTTGAACCAGATCAGGTACGACCCGTACGAGAAGCCCGCGTAGAATATGACCGGCCAGGTCAGGAACATCAAGCTGCGGAGCGCCCGCTGCACCATCGGCTGGCCCGGCTGGGGATTCCAGAGCGATAGTTTCTGCATAAACGTCTTGGGCCGGCCGTAGTCGGCGACCGGGGTCGAGGACGACGTGGTCGAGAGCACCGTCGCGGGGAGTTTCTCCGTGTCGGCCGCGTCCTTGGCCGTGGCTGGCTCGGGTGGTGGCGTGTCGACCTCGACAATCAGTCCCGCCGTCTTGCGCGTGTAGTTGGTTTCTTCCAAGAAGAAGAACTCAAACACAAAGACAAAGGCCAGGAAGATGGCGGGCCAGTAGAAGACCCAGCGCCACCCCTGGCCGTCGGCGATGAAGCCGCAGAGCACCGGGGTGAAGTAATTGCTGCCGGCCAGCGTGAAGGCGTAGATGCCCATGTACGTGCCTCGCTGGTGGGTGAAGTACTGTGTGTGCGAGACGGTCAGTTCTGAACCGGCAGCGGTAACGAACAGGCCACACGTACCACGTCAGTGACGGAGATCTCAGGCAGGGCTTCGATGGGGGCGTTGAAGAAGCCTTGGATGATGCACTTGGCGATCCATTCTCCGTTGCTCGTCACGTAGGCGCTGCAGGGTGGTCAGTCGAGTCACTCATCGAACGTGGCAACACGCTGGCTAGGACAACATTTACCTCCAGATACTGGTGCCCTGGATGCCCACTTGTCAGCACAGCCATCACCACCGTGGGGAGAATTCCAACTCACCAGCGACCCGAGAATGGAGATCAGGTAGGTCAGGCGCTTGCCGTATCTCAGCGAGAAGGGTTGCCAGAAGAGCAGACTCCAGCCGAGAAACAGAAACATGTAGCCCGTGCCCTCGTTGAGCGTTGACACAGACACACCCGACGCTTTGGAGAGGGGGACCAGGACTGAGTACACGGTCGAGACGCTCATGCCGGTGAACCAAGTGTATCTTTTCAACCCCCGGCCACCTGTCAGTTTGGCAGGTCCTCATCATCTCGGGGGGAGACGAATGACAAAAAGTCGGGTGTGCTACTCACAGGTTCGTGCAGATGCTCGACAGGATCTTCCTCCGCGGCGACCAGTTGAGCGGGTCGTCTGGGTCGTTGGACGGCGTCGGCACCAGGACAATATCACCGGCGCCCGCATCAGCATGTCGAGTGTGCATGGTGTGGTCCAGGTCGACCAGGTGGACCGTCCCGGGGACGGCTTCCCCTGTGGTCTCGGTGAGGATGGCCATGATGTCGACAACAAAGGCGGTGGCAGAGCAGGAACAGAATGGATGGAGAAGTAGATGCAAAGAGATAGATGGTGATAGAACAATGGGCAAACCTCAAATACTTATCCACCCAGCAGCAGTTCTCCCGCGGTTCCGTGGCATGGGATTACAAAAACTCCTAACGCAAGGGACAACCTCGTGTCTCGACCCTGCCAATCCCATTTATAACTTCTGTCGCTTGGATGGCTTGTGAGGCTCACTCTTGGATCGACGGTTACACACGATCTAGAACCCCCACTGGAGATGTCCACTGCATTTTGCAGGCGAGACGACCGGGGTTTCCCAACGAATGGCGCCAGCCATTTCGCTTGTCGTTTGTGTGAAAAGGTGCCGGGGTGAAGTGAGGGATACATGGTGGAGGATCCCATCGCGATAACATTCTTGGAAACAAGTGCGGAATTTTGTTGAGTGGCACGAGTGGTCATTTTCTTGACCATTCCCCTGCAGATCGTGGGAAGAATAAGCGTCTGATATCTCGACAGGAGAGCTTGTAAGGGGGGGGATGGTTAGGAAACCAAAGATACGGACAATCTCCGATTCGACCTTGATTGGGAAAAGGTATCCACGACAAGTCTCTCGTCGGGTCTTTCTTGGGTATCTCGTGTGTTGCCATCGACGACGACGAGAGTCGTAGCATGTCTGGGCTGTAGGGGAACAAGAAAGCCAATCCGCACCATCTCCTCGTTTCCTATCAGGACAATAGCTGGCGTTGGCTTTGCGCAAATCCAAGGGATTGGCTCGGTCCGTTGACGCGGTTTGGCTCCAAATTCCGCTATCGAGAGGAATTGAGGAGAGACGCCACTTCGCCTTTGGGGTGCAACGCTTGACAAACGCTTGACCCGAATCAGCGTCGCGCACTGCCCTTCAGCCAGTCAAGGATGCCAGTTGGAGGATATCTGTGGCCAGCGAGAATGGTTTGCGCAAAGCGGAGATGCACGATCGACGCCCGCTAGAGCCGCTTGTCCACGGGTTGATGGAAATGGTTTGAAGCTCCATTGTCCAAGAGAATCTGCCACTTCCCAGTCGTAAAAAAGGTCTCGACGGTCCTGTGTCCTTATCATCGCCTCGAAACATCCCTTGGTTACCCAAGACTATCCGCGTCCAGGGTAGAGAGCAAAATGGTGGTCCGGCCGTTCAATGTCGTTCAACCCAAGGACGTCCCGACGGGCACGCCAGAGTACGAGTCCAAACGGGCGGCTGTGCTTCGAGCGTTCCATGAAAAGATTCCCCAGGAATACTATATTCCCCAGGAGGTCGTCAACAGCCCGCCGCAGGATGTCTCGGGCCTTGCCACGACGTTTGGCATCTTGACCCCCGAGGAGATTGAAATCACAGAGACCTCGGATGCCACGACCCTGGCCGAGGCCATCGCTGGACGCAAGTACACGGCCGTTGCGGTGGCCACAGCCTTCTGCAAGCGAGCCATCGTCGCCCACCAACTGACCTGCTGCTTGACCCAGTGGTTCATGGATGAGGCCATTGAGCAGGCCAAGTCACTGGACGAGTATCTCGCCACGAACGGCAAGACCGTGGGACCTCTGCACGGGGTGCCGGTCAGCATCAAGGACCATATGCCCATCGCCGGAACGTATTCGTCCACGGGCACCTTTGGCAGCATCGTCAAGAACGAAAAGGACAGCCAGTTGGTGGCCATCTTACGGGGACTCGGTGCCGTCTTCTACTGCAAGACGAACCAACCCCAGACCCTGATGCATCTAGAGTCCGACTCGCACTGGGGCCGTGTGCTCAACCCCTACAACATCCACCTGTCCGCTGGTGGCTCGACGGGCGGCGAAGCAGCCCTGATCGCCATGAAAGGGTCGATCCTGGGCGTCGGCACCGACATTGGCGGCAGTATCCGCGGACCTTCTGCATTCTGCGGCATCTACGGGTTCAAGCCGACGTCGTACACTTTGCCCATGAAGGACATGATTGCGGCGCCGTTCCCCGCCGAGCTCAACATACTATGCTCGATCGGGCCGATGTGCCGCAGCCTGAGAGACATGGACCTGTTCACCAGCAACGTCATTGCGGCGAAGCCCCATCTTGAAGACCCAAGGCTCGTGCCGCTTCCCTGGACGGGCCTCAAGACTCCCCTCGCCGGACGGCTGAAGGTTGGGATCATCAGCAACGACGGCTTCATCGACCCCCAGCCACCGGTCAAACGGGCCGTTGCCTGGGCGAAGAAGCTCCTCTCGGACCCCAAATACGCCGATGTGATCGAGGTCAAGGACTTTACCCCCTACGACGCTGCCGGGGCGTGGGCCAAGATTCGCCGCATGTACTGGCCGGACGGCGGGCAGGGGATGGTCGAGCACATCACCGAGACCGGGGAGCCGGTCCACCCGCTCTCGTCGTGGATCTGGAAGGACGCCGAGCCGCACGGGATGCAGACAGGCGTCGACGTGAGCAACATGCGCGGCGAACGGGACGCCTTCCGCATCGCCTTTGCCGAGCACTGGAATACCCAGGACGTCGACGTGGTCATTGGGCCGTGCTTCGTCGGGCCGGCGTCTGCGCACGACACGGCGTTTTACTGGACATACACGTCCCTGTACAACTTTGTGGACTATCCCGGCGTGGTGATCCCGACGCCCATCAAGGCCGAGAAGGAGGAGAAGTACGCCGAGGACTACAAACCGTTGAGCGACGAGTGCGCTCACGTCAAGCAGCTGTGGGAGGAAGGGGATTTTGAAAAAGCCCCCATCAACCTGCAGGTCGTGGCCAGGAAATACCACGACAACCAACTGTTTGGGGCCTTGGCCGTGTTCAAGGATGCTTTGGGGCTGAAGTAGAGATTTGATACACTCCTCCTACCTGAGTAGAGATGAAAGTGATAGCATACTTTCGACTTGCCGCGTTGCTGGTCTTGTTGGCTAGTATAGGTCGAGGAGCACCCAGTGGGCTTCCTTTTCCCCAGATGATGTTTTTGTAGCAAATGATGAGTTTCAAACATTCAGTTGAATTCCCATGTTTCATTTCGATATCGAGGTAGTCTTGTGGTCAATAGTTCATGACGAGTAGACAAGGAGCACAGGCGTGTCATGCATGTCATTATTCACATATTTTGCTCCAGACCATATCAGAGTAACTGGCATGTGAAAGAGCAGAGACACCAGTGGCGGGACGTTAGGGAATCGATAGGGGCGTTGGGGCTTATCACCACGTGACTTAGATCCCCTTAAAAAGATTATTCATATATTATACTCCTGGAAAATAGGTCCAAATCTATGTTCAGATTTGGTTTTCAAAAATTCATGTATTTTCTTGAGAGCCACAAACCGGCGGGGAGGTTGGCCGAGTGGGTTAAGGCGGCAGATTTAAGCCTCTATGAGCAGGATGATCTCTGCTTTCCGAAAGGAAGCGTGGGTGAGTAGTCACGACTGGTGTAATGTTTTAAACATTTGAAAAAGTATTTTGTCTCATAATATGAGTTCAGGTTCGAACCCCACACCTCTCATCGTTAGAATGCTTTTTTTTTCCTTCCATGGGTCTTGTAGGGTAGTAGGTCAAGAGGAGAAGTGTGGCAGTCAAGAGGATGATGTGACTCACTCCTTTGCGTCGGCCGGTGGTAAGAGAAGAGGACTAGCTACTTTCATGAAACGGAGTACTTTATACATCTCTCTCCCTCCCCTCCCTCTCTGTCCAGAATTCTTTTAGATATACGTTAGGATGGAATGAACATATTTTAGGGGGCAAACAACTTCTTTTTATTCTAAAGATATATAGGTATACGACACGAGTGTCCCAAACCCCATGCTCACCTCGTAAGTCGACTTTATCACAGACATGCCGACCCCGACAAGGCTGGATAGTGACCCAGGCATTGTGGCGTCGAGGGTGTTTTCTGTTTCTGCTCCAAAACAGTCAAGAAAGAAAGGTATCAGAGTTGACAAGACGTCCTTTGATAGAGAACGAGAGACAGATGTAGGTTGGCGTAGATCGATATAGAGTACTCGCTACGTTATGGTTAAAGGCTCGAGGTTAACTCAACTCACATATCTTCATATCCCCAATCGTCAACCCGCAACATCCTCGACATTGCTCGTCCCATCCACACCCACTTTCCCCGCCTCTCTCTTCGCTTCTACTCCGGCGTCCTCCTCCACGCCCTCTCCAAACAACGTCGCAATGGCCTTCATGGTCGTGTTCCCGCCACTAAACACGACCCCGACGTCCCAGCACGGCGTCTCCGCGCCGGCTTTCTGCTGCTCCCGCTGCTTCTCGGCGACCATGTCGCGAAACTCTTGATTGAAGAGCACCACCGCCAGAGGAACGCACCCGCTCGGCTCGACGACCAGCTTGAGGCGCTCAAAGACGAAGCGCATCGCCTTCTTGATCTCGTCCTCGCTGACGGCGTAGACGCCCGCGACTTTGGTCGGGTCCGAGACGACGGTCCAGTTGATCTTGCCGACGGGCGTGCGCAGGCCGTCGGCGATGGTGAGCGTCTTGACGTGCTCGATGCGTTTGTTCTGGAGGAGGCCGCGGCGGGCGTCGTCGGCGCCTTCGAACGAGGGTTCCGCCCCGAAGACCGGCGTGTCCGGCTGCGACGCGAAGAAGGTCGCCACGCCGCACAAGAGGCCGCCGCCGCCGATGGGGGCGAGGACGGCGTCGAACTTTTTCGCAGCAGCGTCCGCCTCCGTGGAGGCGGAGGCGGAGGCGGAGGTCGGGGAGGACTGATTTTCTCGAAACTGCTCCTCCATCTCCAACCCCACGGTGCCCTGCCCGAGAATGATGTCCGGGTGGTCGTACGGCGGGACGAGGATGGCCCCTTTCTCCTCGACGACGTTGCCGACGACGGCCTCGCGCTCCTCGGCCGTCGACCCGCTAAAGAGCACGTGGGGCGTGTACAGCCGCGTGCCCGCGATCTTGGACCGGGTCGAGATGGCCGGCATGACGATGTACGCGGGGATGTCGAACGTCGAGGCCGCCAGCGCGAGCGCCTGCGCGTGGTTCCCGCTGCTGTGCGTCACGACGCCGCGGCGCCTCACCTCGTCGAGGCCCAACTCGTCGACCAGCCGGGTCACGGCGTGGAATGCCCCGCGGGCCTTGAACGCCCCGATCTTTTGGAAGTTCTCGCACTTGAAGTGCAGTCGGAACCTGGGTGGCGGCACCGCCGCATCCGAGTCATTGCTGCTCGACGTCGGAGAGTCGAAGGGCGGTGGATTGTCGGACAGATACACGGACGGGTCCCTCGACGAGGCGATTGCATCGAGGGACCGACTCGTCACGAGCGGCGTTCTGTGGATGTACGGCTTGATTTTCGTGTAGGCGGCGCGCACCGACGCCGGGGTCAGCGGCGGACAGGTCGATATGTCTGCCATACCTTGATTTCTTTCCTTCCCGAAAAGCTCAATTGGTGGTGGTGGTGGTGGTCTGTTTGGTTTGTTTACTCTATATCTGACATGTGCGTGGGGCGTACGTGCTGATGATTACTTTGCTCCTGTCCCGCAGCCACTCGATTGATGTGGCGGGGTCGTCGTTGTCGAGGAGTTTCCGTCAAGGTTGCAGACACAAGACCTCCGACAAACCTAGTAAGTGTTGATACACAGAATCAAGACGATAGCATATTACAAAAAAAAAAGCCGTCGCAATAACTTCATTGAAATCTGCTGAACCACAAAGCACGAAATCTAATTGGCAAATCGTGCAGATGTCCGAAGCTCTGCCGAGATCGGAACTCTTTACAGCCTCACAACAAGCATCTGGGCCCATGTGCCTATCTACATAGACTTTCGCACAGCCCACACAAAGTAGCCACATTGCTGTGGCAGAGATCCATCATTGTCCGCCATCCGAAGCCCCTCACCACTTGGTACATGTTCAACTTTTTGGGGGGAAAAAACGCCGCATAAAACGAACCAACACCGCGCGCATCCACATCACTGGTTTTCAGGGCGGAGGGAGCTGTTAAATCACCGTTAGCAATTGACCTCCAACGCTGGCAAAAAAGTGAGCACATACCGAACGGCCTTGCCGGCACGCCAGATCTCCAGATCCCGGATATCCTGCATCTCCTTCTCGTACTTTTCTCTGTAGTCGGGGGCGCTGTTGAACTCCAAGCTGCGCTTCGTCTCGGTGCCATCTCTCACGCTGTCGTAGAGCTGGTTGAACAAGGGCTTGAGGGTGTCCTTGAACTTGCTCGACCAGTCAATGGCACCGCGACGGGCGGTGGTGGAGCAGGCTGCGTACATCCAGTCCATGCCGTTGGCACCAATGAGGGGATACAAGGACTGAGTGGCTTCCTCGACCGTTTCGTTGAACGCCTCGGATGGCGAATGGCCGCGTTCACGGAGCACCTCATACTGGGCGAGGAACATGCCGTGGATACCGCCCATCAGGCATCCTCGCTCACCGTAGAGGTCGGAGTAGACTTCCTTCTCGAAGGTGGTCTTGTAGAGGTAGCCGCTGCCAATCGCGACACCGAGGGCGATGGCCTTCTCTTCAGCCTTGCCTGTCACGTCCTGGTAGACGGCGACAGAGGAGTTGATACCCCGGCCCTCACGGAACAAGCTTCGCACTGTTCTTCCGGAGCCCTTGGGGGCGACGAGGATGACATCGATGTCCTTGGGCACGTCGACTTTGGTGAGGTCTTTGAAGACCGGGGAGAAACCGTGGGAGAAATACAGGGTCTGTTCGGCACTAAGGTCAGCATTTCTCTCAAACAATCCGCGGCCAAGGTCTTTCTTACCTTGCCCTTTGTCAATTTGGGCTTGATGGCTGGCCAGGTCTCGCTCTGCGCAGCGTCACTGAGCAGATTCATAATGATGGTGCCACGGTCAATGGCCTCGTCCACCTCGAACAAGTTCTTGCCGGGAATCCAGCCATCCTGTTCCGCCTCTTTCCACGATGCGCCGTTCTTGCGGACACCGATGATGACGTTCAAGCCGTTGTCCCGGAGGTTGAGGCCCTGGCCGTGACCCTGAGAGCCATAGCCGATCAATGCGAGAGTGTCATTCTTGAAGTAGTCCTGGGTACGTAGTCAGCGGGAATTGAGTCTTTCTCGTTGTTTTGGGAGAGGAAGTTTACATACAAGAAGCTTCTCACGCGGCCAATCTTCCCGTTCTGCGCAGAATTGTTAGCAAAAATAAAAAACCCCCCGGCACCAGGATGAAAGGACACAGGATCAAGCGTACCGAAGACGGTCTCCTTGGTGCCGGCAAAGTCAATGGTCTTGACACCACGCTTCTGCTGCTGAGCGGGAGCTGCGAACGCAGGGCGCTGTGCTGCGGCGACGACAGGCCTGGTCGCAAGAGCGGTAGCAATGGACCGTCTCTGCACGGCGGGGGCGCTGATTTTCTGCTTGGAAGCAGTGCGCAGGGTTCGTGCAAAGTTCTTGGATGCCATTTTTTTTTTTTGTTTTGTTTTTTGGTGAGATGGGAGCAGAGAGCTGTGTTTGCGAGAGAGTGCGTGTGTGTGTGTGTGTGTGTGGAAGTGAGAGGAGAGAAGAAGACGAGTGCGGACAGCGAACTTTCTAATAAGTACTCGGTACCAAAGGGGGAAATTTTGTTTGGGTCTTACTCACAAGAATCATGCAATCGCCAAAAAAGCTGCTTGAGCTTCGCCGAGTGGAAAACTGCTCCTGTTCGGAGCTCACGTGTGATCCATCGTGGCCATGCTGCTTTAACATGGATCCACCATTACCTCCCCCGCAACTCGAGGGCTACCTCGATTAACTTGTGCACTGATTTTCCTGAACGGCTCTAATGCCCACTGCCCAGATCGAGTCTTCTACCACCGAGCAAATGCGGAAATAGGGTAGTTCGCCTGGAGTCGACTCACCCATCTTCAAGAACAAGTAGAAGCTCAAAGAAGATCGATTACATAGCCTATGGTACTAGCGACTACAGGCCCCTTTCAGACTTGTGAGGCTCCAGAATCCATTGAGAACCTGATCATCATCATCATCATCATCTTCTTCTTCTTCTACAACAACGAGAACAAATATGTGCTACGAAATACGAGACAATTACCTGTATACTACTACCACCTATGTAATTATCTGGTATTTCCACGCACCATCTCCTACTCTGTCCGCTTCCCCGGAATCACGACACCTCTCTTACCTCCTCTCTCATCCCGCCACCGCGGCGGCAGGCACTTCATCCCCTTCGACATGTTCGACCGTAGCTGTGACCTCCTCTCCCTTGACCGCCGCGGTGTCCTTCTTCTGCTCGTTCAGCTTGCTCACACGCCACCCTTGATAGCCGTTCTCCAGACTGTTGTGCAGGGCGGCCACGTAAGGAACCATCCCGCCGATCCAGTTCATGGGCTCGACGCGCTTGCCGGGGATATTGGCCCCGTTGTACCACCCGTTGGCTTTGGGGTAGAGTGTCTTATACCAGAGTTTGTTGGCTTTTTTGCTCCTGCACGGATCAAGGTTAGTCATTTATGATAGTAGTAGTAGGTGGCGACGAGCATGTCGAAGGGTAGGCCATGAAAAGATTGGAGATTTGTACGGTGGCGGTGTCACTTACCACTCATCCTCAGCCTCCCGTGTGGCCTCTATTCTCGTGATGCCCTCTTCGCGGCACATGGTAAGAACCTTGTCCACCCATTCGGCCTGGAACTGGTTGTTACTAGGTCCGTTTGCAAACGCCGTGGGCGACTGCGGTCCATAGAGGAAAAACATGTTGGGAAACCCAGCGAGCGCGATGCCCATGGCCGTGCGGAGGCCGTCTTTCCAGTGATCAGCGACGGTGCCGCCGTCTGTCGAATGAATGTCCATCTGTGCAAGAGAGCCCGTGACACTGTCGAAACCTGTGGCGAGGATGATGACCTGTAGACACAAACAACATGGTCAATAAAACCCACTGGCAAATCATGTCGAGGAAACGGGATAAGCCTTACATCGTATTCCACATGCCCCTTGGGCGTCCTGATACCGGTTTCTGTGACTTCCAGGACCGGATTCTCCTTCACGTCTACAATGTCAATATGGTCCTGGTCGACGACCTCGTAGAATCTCTGTTCAAGGCTGTTTCGCTTGGTACCAAACGGGTGAGGCGGCTTTTCGGGCGCCAGGAGTCGCTGTTTCTCGGGGTTTTTCACTCGCTTGAGTACTGTAGAGCGCCAATACCTGTAAGCTTCGTCATTGGCCTTTTGGTCAAAGAGCATATCCTTGTAGCTGAAGAGCATGTCAGTATGTAGAAATATAATGTCGGTGAGCTCCAGAAGAAACGTACTTTTTTAGCAAGGGCACAAAGCCAGCCTCATCCCACAGAGACTTGTAGAATTTCTCCCGCTCTTCCGGAGTGTCGTCAAATGTATTCTTGTCGCTGAAAGTGTAGTGGAATCCGGTGAAAGATTTCCGGCAAAGGTCGAAAATTCTCTCGTATTCACCGTCGGCTTTCTTCTTTCGTTCCACCTCAGGGTCGAGTTCCCATTGTTTCATGGGCAGGCAAAGATTGGGCGTGCGTTGGAAGATGGTCAGGTGCTTGACGACATCTCCAATCTCCTGGGCGACCTATTTCCTTTCGTTAGCTAGGCTGTTCGATCATCTCCTGACATGGCCAACAACTTACTTGAATGCCCGAAGCTCCCGTCCCTATCAGGGCGACGCGTTTGCCTTTCAAATTCACGCCGTGCTGAGGCCAAAAGGCGGTATGATACTGAGGTCCCTTGAAATTCTGCAGACCTGGGAAAGGTGGCTTGTAGTGCTTGGATGCAAACCCAACGCATGGCATGAACCATTGTGCGTAGACCTCTGAGCCATCTGAGCACTCAATGTGCCACTGGTGTCTCTGCTCATCGAAGATGGCGGTCTCGACGTTCCTGTTGTATTCGATGTACTCTTCCGTGTTCCATTTTTTCTCGATATATTTGAAGTAGCGTCTCAAGTCTGGCCAGCTGGAGTACCGCTCCTTAAAAGTAAAGTCTTCGTACAGATCCCGGTCAAACAATTGATATATCGGCGACTCGGAGTCGACGCGAGCTACATGAAGATTGTGAGGAAACGCCTTTGATGTCGGGAAAATCTTCTGATATGACCTACCTCCAGGGTAGCAGTTCCAAAACCAGATGCCTCCAGCAGCGGGTCCTCGTTCATAGATCTTGACACTGAGTCCCTGTTTCCGAAGTTTGTTCAGCAGGGTGAAGGCTCCAAAGCCAGCACCGACAATCAGCACATCCACAGAAGGGATCTCTGGTTTTGCTATCGACCCCATGATTGAGCGAGAAGACGGAAAGGTTTGATTTGTGATCGTTCGAGAAAAGGCCGGGATCCAGCATGCGAAGTATTTGTAGTTGGGGTCGCTGCACGTCTAGACTTCCGAGTTAGAACCTACCCCAGCATGTCGGAAACTGTTGTCCATTTCTTCAGCGTTGGAACCACCTCCTCGGGACCCCTGATGCATTGCAATCGACGGGAATAGTCACATTGTAAGGTCTAGAGACCTCGGGTAACCGGTATACCTCGTATATCTACTCCGCATATGTACAGCTGTGGAGCGGATTTGCGGGGGGTTTTTGGACGAACGGATCTCCTATCCCGGATCGGTGGGACCGAGTCAGGCATCTGGGGGAATACTTCATGCTTGGTCGGCCCTGTAAAGTGCATGCGGTACTTTGTAGAGAGTGAATCCGAAAACCAGGTTTTGGTTCTCAGTATCAGGCCATCCTCAGCCATGGTAACTTCTACTCTGAGCGACTTGCTGACCGGTAGCGCTGGCACCACCTCAGACAATGCAAACGGGGAGGCAAATGGTTCGTTGGGGCAAGAAGAATATTGTGACCTGCATGGGGTTGTGATTGTATGTTGTCCCGTATTTCTGAGTCAGTGCTCTCGGCTGATCAGGCCATTGCAGAAGCCACTCCAACAGATCGAAGAGCTCACGCCACTATGGCTGTCGATGTTTCTCAATCGCAAGATCGATGAGAATGGCTTCGTCGTCAAGCCAACTGGGACGGGCCAGATGAGCAATACTTACCGAGTCCAGTTTCATGATCTCGACCATCCAGGCAAAGTCAGCCAAGTTGTGGTCAAATTTGCAAGAAACGACAAAGACACTCGAGACCTTGGCATCAGGTTTGGCCACTACCAACGTGAGGCTGTCTTCTATCGAAGATTTGGGGATAGGCTGTCCGCTGGTCTACCACACTGCTATGGCGCAGTGGTAGACAGACACGCTTGGTTTACCCTTGTCCTCGAGGATCTTGGCTTGTATGACGGGTACCAAGGGGCCCAGCTGGAAGGATGTGATTATAAGCATGCGCAGCTGGGCTTGAAAGCGCTCGCTCAATTGCAGGCGCCGGTCCTAGGAGATGCACAGCTGGATGAGGACGAGTGGCTCAATAAACCGCCCGCTTTGGACCAGAAATTCTTCAACGAATGTCTTCCAATTTTCCGCACGCGCCAGAAGCTTCCTCCCGAGCAAGAACAGCTGTTGAACTGGCTGTCCGAAAACCTCGATGACTGGTGGGCGACTCGAGAAGGGCCTTTCTGCATCTTTCATGGAGATTTTCGTCTGGACAATATCCTCTTCCTTGCCAAGGACAATCATCGTGCGGTAGCAGTCGATTGGGGCGGGCTTGGTTGGGCGTCCCCCATGCGGGATGCTGGATACTTCCTCGGAAATGGACTGACGATTGAGAACCGGCGAAAGTGGGAGAAGGATCTCATCCGCGAGTACCTGGACGAGCTCAATCGTTTGAGCAAGGTCCAAATGACATGGGAACAGGCCTGGAAGCAATATAGACTCCAATCGATATATGGCCTTGCACAACAGTAAGCTCGACACCGACCGGGATTGGGCCATGCTTTCTGACTGTGGAGTTTCTAGTATCCCAGCTGCGGCAATCTGCGCACCGACTGAGCGAGGAGAGAAAATGTTCTATACATTGACCTCGAGGCAGGCCCAGCACGCACTAGACATGGATGCGGCATCATTAGTGAAGCCACGCCCCAAATCTTACTCACCTCATGTTGGGGACGAAGCCGAGCATGTTGCACCAGCAGATGGGGGACCTCTCTGGAGTGAAAGCTGGTATTTTGACTGCACCACATCCGATGGCGAAGCTGGCATGTACGCTCGAATTGGGCGCCTCCCAAACCAGAATTGTTGCAACTTTATTGCCGGGATCTTTCGACGGGGAAAGCCATCAGTCATGCTCGTCAATATGCAAGCACCTCTGCCAGCCTCCCATCACGCTATGCAAAGGTTCTCGACGGATCGGTTCGCGGTTGAGAGCAGATGCCTCGTTCCGCTGGAGAAATTCTCGTTCAGTTTGAGCGGGACGGGATCCGCTTCGCCCGACTCCATTACATATTTCCACGGAGATGAGGCGCAGGTGGAAGATGTGGAAAATATCAAGATCGATCTCGTTTGGGAGACGTCGGCGGCGCCATA